ACGTCGAGTTTATGTTTGTTGGTAGTATTACGTCGAGTTTATGTTTGATGGTAGTATTACGTCGAGTTTATATTTGTTGGTAGTATTACGTCACGTTTATGTTTGTTGGTAGTATTACGTCGAGTTTATGTTTGTTGGTAGTATTACGTCGAGTTTATATCTGTTGGTAGTATTACGTCGAGTTTATGTTTGTTGGTAGTATTACGTCGAGTTTATAATTGTTGGTAGTATTACGTCGAGTTTATGTTTGATGGTAGTATTACGTCGAGTTTATATTTGTGTTAATTATACTACTCTTCACTTCTTTCATGCACGTGGAAAATGTCGTAATAGGTTGAAATCATTTAGTAAAATCTTTTAGGGAGTGTTGGTGGGGCGGCAATACATTTACGGACTCACATCGTTAACATCCAGGGTTCGATTCCCCGTGGTAGACACACAGCCGATAGCCAAATGTGGCTTTGCTCTAAAACAACCAAACAAAATGTCTCGGAAGGCTCCGTTAAAAACGGAAACTGGTTGTGAAATAAGAGTAGCAGTTTTCATCTCTGTCCACCATTCAAACGAATTTTTAGCGAACAAAATAATAGTCAACGTTATCGAACCGATTCATTTTACAGAACTGTTGATACGGAGTCACTAATAACTGTCGTACTTCGTGTAAAAACCAGAGTTCTCCGTGAATTTTATTAGAGGCACAAGTGAAATGGTTTTTCTTGTTTTTCCAACTACGAAAGTAACTTTGGAATTTATTAGTAAACTACATTTACCTTCTAACACCAAATTGTTGTTTTTCTTTAATTAGACACTCAACGTTTCGCTTTACGGCTTTTTCGGGAGCGTTTCACTAAAAATACAAACCGTAACTGACAGTACAGAATTTTTATGAAGCTTTTACTGTCAGTTACGGTTTGTGTTTTAGTGAAACGCTCCCGACGAAGCTGTAAAGCGAAACGTTGAGTGTCTAATTTCAAAAACAACAACAATCAATTAATATTATAAGGTAGTTCATTTCTTGCGTTATAATGTCTTCTATACACCAATATGCACTATTGAAGTTAAATAACCATCTGCACAGTAAGAAAACTGTTTGTTAAACTGATATCGTAAAAATGACAGAAGCATAAACCGTGCAGCAGGTACGTTTCACCCGGGTTTCCAAGTCAACCTTTGACACGTCTCATAACTGTTGTAACCCCCCTCCCCCCCTCCTTTTAAGCAAAGAAACAAATATAGTTATTATTTGCTGTCCTTCATTAAACATTTATAATTTCATCATAATAATACAGGTTTCTCCGTCTTGTCACGAAACATGTCCTTAATAGGAGGTTGTTTTGTTTTTTTCTTATTGCACGTACCTGCCCTCTGCCTGTGGTAAACGGTAACAATGAAGATAACGAACACGATCTGTACCCATTTTGAAGGTTCCAAAGATTCTGAACATTGTAAAACCTTCTGGTCTGGAAATGATGGAGCTTACCAAGAGTTCTGTTGTCTGTTTTGTCCATTTAACAATAGTCACGGATCGGTTACGTTCTTGTTCCCTTAATATTTTTTTTCTTTTTGTGTTTGTGTGATAGTTATTTAATTCATCGAAATTAGACGTTAGATACCGGTTCACCTTAGTTTTCTGAAACTTTTCCAGTCCAGGATTAATGACTTTCTATATGAATACGTCGTGGATCATATATTTTTCAAAATGTCATGATAATTACAGTTTTTCAAAACAATTTTAGAAGAGAGTTTTCTGCTAGGTCCGAACTGTCTTACGTTTTTTTTTTTTTGTGTGTGTGTAGGCTCTCTCCGTAACTGAATAAATTCTCTCTCTCCCTCCGTGTGTAGACTCTCTCCGTAACTGAACAAATTCTCTCTCCCTCCGTGTGTAGACTCTCTCCGTAACTGAACAAATTCTCTCTCCCTCCGTGTGTAGACTCTCTCTCTCTGCAAACCTTCATCTCGATTGTTTGTTATGGATTTCGCACAAAGCTACACGAGGACTATCTGCGCTAACCGTCCCTAATTTAGCACAATCCCACTTTTCGTTAGTATAAGATTAGCTCAACAGCTAATCATCACCCTTAAGCTAACCTTATACTAACGAAAAGTGGCATTGACCGTCACTTATAACGCCCCCACGGCTGAAAGGGGAGAGCGTGTTTGGTGGGATGAGGATTCGAACCCGCAACCCTCAGATTGCGAATCGTCCCTAATTTAGCAGTAAAATATTAGAAGGAAGACAGCTAGTCACCACCGTCACTTTCACGGCTGAAAGTGCGACTCTCAGATTGCGAGTCAAGCGCCCTAACCACCTGGTCATGATAGGCCTAGGGTTTATACGATTATTGTACCTTACCAATATTTTCAACTATTTCTGGTCTTTTTAAGTTCATAATTTTTTTTTTTATCAAGCAGTAGAAGATCTACGTCTTTAGGCTTAATATATGATGTCTTTTAGCTAGACATTATTTTTATCTTGTCATACAAGTTTGCTGTCTTCCAGTGGGAGAAATTTAACCAAAACTGTCACATAAAATAATGAATTTATATGAGTGATATAGAAAATATCCAAACTGGTCATCATTTCGGAGGCACAGATGTTTGTAACTGATTTACGGAATTCAAAATTCTGTTTATTATTTAGTGAACATTTCGAATGTTATAAAATGTGAATTAGAATATCATGCTAAAATAATAGGTAACAACACACACACATGCCAACGTTAATAGAATCAGGAATATATTAAAATCAATAAAATGTGGTAAGGGCGCTCGACTCGCAATCTGCGGGTCGCGGGTTCGAATCCCCCGTCACACCAAACATGCTCGCCCTTTCAGCCGTGGGGGTGTTATAATGTGATGGTCAATCCCACTATTCGTTGGTAAAAGAGTAGCCCAAGAGTTGGCGGTGGGTTGTGATGACTAGCTGCCTTCCCTCTAGTCTTAAACTGCTAAATTAGGAACGGCTAGCGCAGATAGCCCTCGTATAGCTTTGCGCGAAATTCAAACAAAACAAAAACAATAAAAATATATATACATATTTCTGCTGGCTCCATCCAGCCACCTTCAGGTAAAAGTACTAACCAAGAGTTTACAATTGTACCGAAATGTTCCTCTTATGTTTCATTTACAGGCAGTTTACCAATAACATATTGTAAACGTCATGAGCACGCGTTGAACATATGGTAAACGTCACAAACATGTGCAGAACAAATACTTTAAAATTAAACCATGGGATGTGATAAAAAAAAAGGTCTCCCAACTTGTTCATGCTTGTTTTTTTTTCTATCTCTATAGCTTCACGAATTTTAACCAGTTCATAAAGTTTAGTTTGAGAGATAATTTTAGACCCCTCCCATTTAATTGAATATTCATTATTATGAACACGTAGCGCGATCGCTCATTTCTCTATCTCTGCTGTTTACAAAATCTTAAACGTTCTTTGATTCACAGCTAAGGGTCGCTTAGTTTAGTCTAACTCAGCATCATTACATTCCTTACATAAAATTTCGTAAAAGCTTTGTTTTGTTTTTTTAAACGTCCTCCTCGTAAACGTACGATAAGTGAAACGTTTAAGAATCAGTAGACATGTAACTGTGACTCAATAGAACTTTTCTTTTTACTAAAGCGAAACGTGTGGAATATATTTAGTTTAATATATTCCCGTTTTTATCAACGCTGGCATGTTTTTTTGCGTTTCGTTTCTGATTTGAATGTTCCTCGCGCTCGTTTCCAAATCACGCTAACGTTTTTAGCTATGCATTTTCATTTGGCCTCTGTGCTCTCTGTCGTCCGTATAACATCTCGGATGGATATAACTTGCGTT